AGAGCGAGAGAGAGAGAGAGAGAGAGAGAGAGAGAGAGAGAGAGATAAGGTGATAAGGTGTAACAAAGAATCTGTTATATGTGTAACTGGACTCTCTCAACACTAAACAGGCATTCGTTCATATTCAAGCAGAATGACATTTAACATTTTACTCAAAAGTGTTCCTAAAGTAGAATGAAATAGGTTCTCTCTATTAAACCCATGGAATCAAAATTAAATCAAAACAATCTGAATTATCTTACTCGTAGGGGAAAATGTAGTTATTTAAAACAAGAATGATATGGACCCAAAAATATGAGCACTAGTAATAATGATGATTGACTGCCACTAATAAAAAGTGCTAAAATTAGAATTAAGTTGTGAATTACTCTTCAGAAGTCTAGGGTCAGTAAGTACTTTTATTCATCAAATTGATCAAAAGTGACAGTAAAGACATTCATAATTATAATGTTACAAAAGGTTTCTATTTCAAATAAAATTTCAAATAAAAATTTCTATTTCAAGTGACACTGAAGACTGCAGTAATGATGATGGAAATACAGCTTTGATCACAGAAATAAATTACAGTTTAACAGATATTCACATAGAACACAGCTGTTTTAAATTCTAATAATATTTGACTATTTTATAGTATTTTTGATCAAATAAATGCAGCTTTGGTGAGACTTCTTTTTTTAAAAACATTAAAATCTTCCTGACCTCAAACCTTTGAATGATAGTGTTCGTAATGCATGACTGCTCAGGCTTCTATGCGGATGGAGCGAGTGAAATTAACTTATAAACAGAGCCTCATTCTGTTACAGACGTGTTTGTGACGCTCAAGCAGGATGTTTGTTTAGTGTGCAGCAGGAGATCATGGGAGCGTCGGATCCAATGCCAGAACTAGTCTGACAGGACACACCGCAATAACACACACACACTGACAGATACACGACCAACTACACCAATGCAGACTTAAAGGGATAGTTCACCCAAAAATGAAAATGTGATGTTTATCTGCTTACCCCCAGGGCATCCAAGATGTAGGTGACTTTGTTTCTTCAGTAGAACACATATGATGATTTTTAACTTTAACCGTTGCAGTCTATCAGTCGTATAATGCATGGCAATTGTAACAAAATCTATGAGAGTAAAAAAAACATGCACAGACAAATCCAAATTAAACCCTGCGGCTCGTGACGACACATTGATGTCCTAAGACACGAAACGATCGGTTTGTGCGAGAAACCGAACAGTATTTATATCATTTTTTACCTCTAATACACCACTATGTCCAACTGTCTTTGGGCGCGCGCACAGCATCCGGTGCGTGAGGTGTGTACGTGCTCTGGCGTAGTTTACGTTAATGGGTGTGTTGATATCCAGCCGAAGAGCAATCAACCATAACTTCAGGCGAGCAGGCTCAGAAGTTGGGAATACGTGGAAAGTCACCACTCCCGAATGAGTT